AGGGCTGAGGCAAAGGCTCTTTGCTGCCCCCTGGTGGTAAGGCACAGAGCCGTCTCCCACAGGGGTCTCAGGGAGATAACAGCCTTAAAAACAAGAAACTTGCTTTGGGCTTTATTGCTTCCCTGAAGACCTCCAAGAATACTCATGCAACTTTTTGGAAATGGGTGAAGAAGAAAACCCCTAAGAGCTCCAAAAGCAGCATGATGTCTTCCTCGTATGTGTGTGTGTGTGTGTGGGGAGGGTGAGTATGAAAGGCTTTGGTAGTCTTCCTCCTGGACAGGGAAGCTGGGGATGGGGACTCCTTTGCTGGCTGACTCCCTGGAGGTGGTGACCAGGCAGAGGGAGGGAGCTGTGATGCTCCCTGTGGGCATGGCTGCTGTTCCTGGGCTGCCCCTGAATTTCCCAGTGTTCTCAATTTTTCTGACCTTGGAGCTCTGTCTTTGCTGGCCTGGCTCATCACTCATCCATGGCCCAGGGTGCTGTCAGCAGGGGTGTGCTTAGGTCAGGCAATTTCTACCTTCCTTGTAGACTGTGGGTTTCTGGAGGGACACCCCCCCTTCGGTACATAGTCCATAGTAAATGTTTGATAAGGACACAGTGGCTAGGCCACAGAATGATTGAATTCTGCTCTTGAAGACAAGGAACCACACCTGGCCAAATCTCTTTTCTCCCATGGTGCTCAGCAGGGAGCTTCACACATAGCAGTAGCTCAGTGAATGAATAAAGACAGCATGTTCTCAGAGGGCTCTTTAAGACCCTAATATTAATTAGTGAATCAACTGTATTTGAGTATAGTAGTCCTCCCTTAGCTGTAGTTTCACTTTTGGTTGAGGTACCCAAGGTAGAATGTGGTTAAAATAGTAAATGGAAAATATTTAAGTGGGAAATTCCAGAAATAAATGATTCCTAGATTTTAAATTGTAGGCCATTCTGAGTAGCATGATGAGATCTTTCAGCGTCCGTCTCCCTCTGTATGCCTGGGACATGAACCACACCTTTGTCCAGCATATCAGCAATGTAATCACTACCTGTCCATTAGTCAGTGGCCTTCTGTGTCACTGTCATGGTATCATGGTGCTTGTGGTTACATAACCCTTATTTTGCTTAATAATGGCCCCAAAGCACATGATTAGGGATGCTGGCAATTTGTATAAGAATGCCAATGAGAAGCCACAGAGCGCTTCCTTTAAGTGAAAAAGTGAAAGTGTTAGATTTAATAAGGAAAGAAAAAAACGGTGTACTGATACTGTGCCTAATTTACAACTTTATCATAGGTATGTAATTATAGGAAAAAAGAGGCTACGGAGGCTTTGGTACTAGCCATGGCTCAGACATCCATTGGGGGTCTTGGAACATATCCCCCACAGATAAGGGGGGTGCCACTGTACCTCCTAAGTACCATAATAGGTGCTGGGAGTTTCTTTCAAGGAAGCATATAAGCATCTGGCTTCTAAGAACATGACTTTGTAACATTTAAATTGACACAATAATTGCACATATTCATGTGGTGCAGTGTGATATTTTAGTACATGTATACAAGGTGCAAGGATCAAATCAGGGTAATTAGCATATCTATTACCTCAAACATTTATTATTTCTTTGTGTTGGAAACGTCTTCTAGCTGTTTGAAATGTACAAAAAAATGATTGTTAACCAGAGATTGATAGTGTTTGAACAGAGGGCCTTGCATCTTTTCTTTTGTATCAGGCTCTGGAAATTATGCAGTCAGTTCTGAGGTGAGGTCGAGGTTGGGGCGATCTGGGGAGGGTTCAGCCAGGTGGGATGGGGCTGGAGCTCGAGGAGGTGACTGTCCTGGTGTCAAGCAGCAACAAGTACTCACTCAGGACATGCTTTGGGAGGTCAGAGGTGGATGGCTTTGGATCCCTGTGTGTAAGTCTGCCTGGGAGGAAGTGGTGGCTCCCCGCTGGGGCTGCCCACGGGTCTGGTCTGCCCTGTGGCGGAAGAGTGTGCTCCTCTTACCCAGGGGAGCCCGAGACAGCCACAGCCGCAGAGCCCACTGGGAAAGGCCTTGCTTTACTGCACTAGATTTACTCTCCCTTCTGGAACGTGCTGGTGGACATCTCACAGGATTCTGGAAAACCCAGAGGAGAGAAATGACTGTGTGCCTATCAGAATAGGGGTTCCGTGCTCTGAGCTGAGCATGGTTCTGGCACCGGTGGGTCTTGGTCTGGTGTTTGAAGAAGTGCTGGTGCTCGGGGCCTCTTCTTGGTACTCTGTTGGAGGAAAGGGTGCAGGACCTCTGGAGAAGCAGAGCCCCATCTTTCTTTGATCCCTAGGGACACAGATATTTGGCAGGAAAAGAGACACTTCAAAATCACAGCTCCTGTTCTTTGACAGATGGATGGACCTTGAATTCCAGCCTTTCCTCTACTTACCTAAACTAATAGCTTAGCTTGTCCGGGCACGTGCCATACAGTCCTATTGTGAGGGTGAGGTGCCCAGGTAGTGGCTGTCAAGAGATGCCATTACCATTGTTGATGACAGTCTGAGGCTTGGGAGATCAGCAAAGGGAGGGACCATATGAGCCTGCATGATGTGGGAGGGTGGACTGGCACTAGATCCACAGGCAGAAAAAGGCAGGGCCTATCGAGGGTGGAGAAGAGCTTGTGGCCTGTTTAGTGTGCGCCTAGGGTGAGCAGGAGAGTGGCGTGAGCCTAGACACTCAGAATAGTGTGGTGTCGTGGAGCAGCTTGTGCCCTGTGCCATCTTGCCTGCAAATGAAGGGGCCTTTGCAAGGGGAGGTGGCAGAGCTCTTTCCACAGCCTGTGAGGCCCTGTTGGAGCTTTGGGAAGAGGGCCTGGTCTCTTCTGTCCCCTGCCCTGGTTTGTGCCATCCTGTTGGTCACTCCTATCCTGTTCTGTCTGTTGGTCTCTGACTTCTCCAACTGGTCTACCTTCTTTTAAGGGAAGATGGAATCATCCCAGGGAGCTCACAGTCTCCAGCCCAGTATGGCCTCAGCCCACCTGCTCCTTCCTTCCCTACAGAAAGGCTGCTATCCCAGCTACTGGAGAAAGTGTTGGCTGGTAAGAAACCTCTGTGACCTCAGGCAAGTTTTTTAACCTCTCTGGTCCTCAGTTTCCTCAGGAATACACATGTTGTAACTTGGAGTTTTGGGGAGGAAATAAGAATTGATAAGAAGGACTGGCGATACTACCCTACCTGGGTACATGCTAGGACAGAGCATTTGCTGTGTAAGTCTGAGCAGAGCCAGCATATCAGGAAGCCATCTTCAGAGATGAAGGGGATGTGGGGGTCTGCCTCCTGCCTCCTGGTCTAGAGTCCTGTCCCTTTGTGCAATCCGGCTGGTGTAGGGGACAGAGGGGACCGTTTCAGGGCCTAGCTGACATAGGATGAATGAAACACGGGGCTGTGGGCAGTTTGTGCAAAATGCAAAGTGGCCCGGTCTTGTGACTATTAAAATAACTCCATTGGCCAGGTGCTGCCATGCGCTGGCATGCCTCTCTCCTCAGGCCTCGGGCATACCTGAGCATGTGCCCTACTGTCATGGCCACTTACAGAAGCAGAAACAGAGCCTTAGCATCTCTCCATTGTTCCCCCCCCCCCCATAGCCTGGTTTCAGAACCCCACGGCCCCTCAGCCGGGCACTTCTGCCCCTCCCTGAGCCCCACTGGAGTTTTGGGGCTCCAGATCCCAGGGAACATTGCCTGGTCCCACCTGCCCATTCCCAACATCCTGCTGCCCCTGTGGGAAGCACTGCCCTCGGGCCTGGCTTCCTATTTTCAGTGGAACCGACAGACAGCCCCACACATTCCACAGAGGCAGGCGGCATCGACAGGTATTTGGGAAACACCAGTTTTCTTTGCCTTTACATCTGTCCCTGTTTATTTAGGAAATGGTAAGCATTTTATTGACATCCAAGATTAATTAAATAGGGAAAAAAAAGTCAGAGTCTAGGATTTTGGTACATTTCAAATATATTTTATTACTTTTCTTTTCATCTTAGAAAGAATATGAAACCTGCATGCAGTGCTAATGGTTTCTGACATTTTACATGGCATATAACACACCAGTACCTCTACCAAAGGAGTGCGGGGTACTCTGCAGAGCGTATGTACAAAAGGAAAGGGCATCTGGTCATCTTGGCTTCCAAAAGATTACTGCACTGTCTACCATTGTGTGGGGAGTCACAGGGATATTGCTTTTCTACTGCATGTCCCCTCGGGGTGAGGGAAGGAAAGACGCTCAGGTGGCTTCCCCTTGATCAACTGAATCCATGTCTCTGGCTGTGGGCTGTGTATGTAATTGTGTATTTTAAAGTTTTTCTCCTAAGGGTTTCACTAACATGTTTCTGAAACCTTATATATCGAAGCAGCGAACCTTTCAGAAACCTTCAGGTGGGAGCTAAGACCCAACCCCTTCTTTAAAGACCACTGGCCTTGCCACCTTGGGATCTTGGACACAAATGTTTCCCAGAGGGTGGAAAAATGAACCTGGGCAGGGGGGCAATGAGGCATGATGCTCTGGCCACCAAATGGATCTAAGCACAGAGGCAGAGAGACCTGTTCCTACTTGCCTGGTGACAGGGGCCACCGCGGAGTCACGGAGGCTGTGACCGGCTGCAAGCCCAGAAGAGTTGTGGCAGCTGTGCCGAGGCGCCAGGCCCTCTGGGCGGAAGCTTCCCCAGCTAGAACCGGAGCAGATCTGCAATGAAATGTCTCACCGAGCTCAGTGTTCCTCCCGGGCGCTTATAAAGCTCAGATGTGTAGTGACGCATGGACGAATACAAAAAAGCATTTTTTAAAAAGGAAAGGCATGAGTTTCCCCCCTTTTTTTTTCGGTAAAAAGGCGCCTGTGTTAAAATCTGGCGTGCAGGAGAGTTGGGTCTCACATCTGGAAGCCTTTTGCACACAGCTATAAAATGTAAAAACTGACCCTTGGTAAAAAGTGCTTCGTAACAATATATAATTTGTGTCTTATGCCTGTGAGAAAGAGAGGTTTTTTTTCTTAATTTTTTTTTAATTTTAATCTGTAAAGTCCTTTGCTGAAGTCTCCCAACTGGTCTGGAAGTGTTTCTACCCAAGATCCGTCGTCACCCTATTCTTCGTAGACCCTGGGAAGAGAAAACGCAGGTGTAAGAGGCTGGGGACCAGGTGGTGGCAGCTCCCAGCCTCCCCCAGGCCTGTGGGGTTGGGGAGCAGGAGGAACGCCTCAGAGAATGTGATTGTGGGGACACAGAAGCTCACACAAGTCTGGCTTTGTCCTTTCTGATCAGCCTCCACCTCTGCAGCCCCTTTCTATCCTCAGAACCCTATGGAGCGAACCCCTTTGCATATGGGAACACTGCAGGATAGGTAAGATGTGCCCTGGGACCATGGACGGTTCTCCCAATATGGCGGGCTGCAATCCAGTCCCCAATCCAGTCCTCATCTGTACAAAGCCTCTATTCAGGGAAAATGGCATCCGGGAGGGACGTGCTCTCCCCAGACTTGGGCTTGTCCTCTTGAAATGTGCCCATTCTAGAGGCTGCTTGCTAAAGACTGAGGAGGGGGTAGGCGGGGCTGAGGCTGTGACAGAGGGGCCTGTGCCTCGTGGTACCTCCTCTGGCTGGCCTTGCCTCACCTCTGCCTGTTATAGGCCTGTGTGTATTCAGGAGCCACCTCTCCCCTCACCTCCCAAGCCGGCTGCCTTGAGGTATTCCTTCTAGTTCTGACTCATGACTGCACTTCACACCCAGACAACCCATTGCTCCCTCTGTCTTGCTCCTGATTTCTGATAAAGTCACCTAATCATGCTTTGAGTAAAAGGCCTGGTGCAGCTGCTCTCCAGGGCAGCCAGAAGCTCTGGTCTTGGAGGCGCTCAGTTCCCTTGCTTGGCAGCACAGCCTGGCCCTGCCCTGTACCCTCTTCCTTCACCCCGGTTCAGCATTTTCTCTGTAAGAGGACTTTAAAGAGTTCCTTTATCTCCATTCTCCACCTTGTAAGACGTTTTTCAACCCTTTGCAGTGGAGAAAGGACTCGGCATGCCTCCTCCTCTCCCAGAACACCTGGGCACTCTAAGACAGATGAAGGAACTCATGGTGTAATGAAGTGGCGGAGGGCCTGGTGATGGACAGGCTTTCATAGCTTTCGATGCAGTTTGCAGAAGAAGTTGGGCTGCCTTTAGGCCCACGGGGCCTCCTCCTCTTTAAAGCCACAGCCCAGGTGGAGCCGGCAGAAATAGGGCGACCACATAATTTGAGTGTCTCCCAGCATCCTGAGCAAGATGTTCTCAGCCCCCTCCTACCATGGGGCCTGGGGTTAGCTTCACTCCATTTTCACACAGGGCCTTGGAGGGTAACAGACAGTGGACAGGGAAGGCTCTGTTTTTGCCATGTGAGTCGCCTGCCCTGACCAGAAAGAAGCCTTCATTCCTGTCAGAAATATAGAAAATATTCTTGTCCCCTCATCATTTTCTATTTCAAGTAACTGCAGACGAGGCAGTTTTGGGGGAAGCAAAAAAGGCTCAGGTGCAGGGTTTGGGCCTGAGTGTCAGCTGTGAGAGCTGGTCACGGGGCTGAGCCTGGGGACCAGAGCCAAGCCAGGTGATGGGAAGGGTGGGTCAGGCACCACTGAGGCTGCCAGTCTCTATGGGGGCCTGGCTTCTTGTCCTGCCCTTGCCCTGGGCTCCCAGGCAGGTCCCGCCTCCTCCCCACCTAGTTTTGGTTTCTTCTTCTGCAGGATGAGGTGTTGCACCTGCTCATGGGGAGGTCACCTGAGAGCTTGTGCACTCCCTGGCCATGCTAGGCAGGTTAAAGCACAAGTGGGCCCTGCGTGCTTGAGGAGTGGCCTGCTCCAGGACAGCATCACCTTCACGTGGTATGGGGAGCTGGGAGGTGGCCTCCCCTTCCAAGGTCAGACCTAGGACCACAGGATCAGGGCCAGAAAGCCACCTTCTGATTATGGGAAATAGAGCCCAGGGAGCCCAGGGCACTGGTCAGTCTCATCACTGCTGCCCCGTTGGGCATGAGTGACTGTGATTTCAAAGGGTCAGACCCAAGTTCCCTCTTAGCACTTGCATTTGAAGGATTTTCTCAGGTGTCTGGGCAGCATGGGGCACCTTGGAGAGAGCACATTATTGGCAGGGAGTTATCCTTATCATCTCATGGGTGTACCCCCCATTTTGTGGTTAATAAATGTGGTTATTTAAGTGGTAACATTTTGCCCCACCAGATCCACAGAGGATAGCCATGCCAGTGCTCACCCAGCTATTTGACAGCTTATGAGACTTAGATAAAAAGAGCAATTAAGACTATAATATGAAAGTCAGGAAGAGACAGACTTAAGTTCACAAATGGATCCACCTGTGGTGCTTCCAGCCTACTTTGTTAAGTGATGATTTTCTCAGTCCTGGGGGTATGTAAGCAGTATCTGTTCATCTGCTTGCTGTGGGTATTGTGGTGGGTCTTCACACATTGGATGGGCTAGCTGACCTGGTGTGGGGACCCCCTTCCATCCTGAGAGCCGCAGGAGGGGAAAGTGGGCAGGAGGAGAAGGGGGTGTACCTGCGCTTCTCGTTCCAGGCATTGTACCACTTGATGAAGCGCTTGGTGCTCTGCAGCTTGGGGTGCAGGCAGTGCTCCTGGCCCCGGTACCTGGAAACACTCTTGGTGGTGATGCTGCAACGGAAAAGGATGGGGTAGAGGGTTGAAGCGTCTTAATAGTGGCCCCTGAAGTGGCCTGTGGGTGGCCCTGGTCTATCTGAATCAGGGCACTAAGTGACTTGGCTTCCACTCTTCCTCAAGGCAGCCCACCCACATGTTCATTTCCTGGCAGGCTCCTTGGAAGGTTTTGGTATCCTCTCATTTCTGAGTCCTTGTTAGGGTCTGGCCCTATATGGAGTGAGTGGCACCTGGAATAGTGTCCTTACCCCCAGTGCACCCCCAGAAGTGGGTTTTCTGCAGACCTCTCTTGGGGAACAAAGATCAGGGACCAAGCTGTGTTAATGCCTGCAAGGTGAGCGTGCCAAGACCTTTGTTCTTGGACTTGAGGAGCCCTATGGTGGGGCTAAGTTGTGCCCTGATGATCCTGTCATCTCTGTCTAAAGCTTCAGTCTCAGCTCCTCCTGCTGCAGATTTTCCCAGGACAAGGCATTTGCCCACCCTGAAGCCAAATCTTATTGAAGCCCATTTAGACACTTGAGTGTTAAGTCCCAGTTATCTCGCTTCACGCAGAAAAACAAGACCTGGCTTCTCCACAGCCTGAAGCCCTCAGATCTCTATCAGCCTAGGTTCTAACACCTGAGAGAGTCCTTGCTGTGCAGTGGAGAAGCAGGGTGTCTTTGTACAGGGTGCAGGGGCCTGAGTTGGAGTCCCACGTTTGGCTGTAGGATCTTAACCTCTCTGAACCCGTTTACCCATCTGTAAACTGAATCTGAAAATAGAACCTACTTCATAGAGTTATTAGGATGATGAAAGGATATAACCTATACAATGTGCACAGTGGCTGGTAGGTGCCCAGCTGACAGTTATTAGCAATTAGTCATGGGAGATGAGACGGGAAAGGAGAAAGACAAGCCTCAGTATGGGATGTATGAGCTGCAGCCTGGCGAGGGAGGAGAGCCTGCTGCCTGCCCAGGGCTATGCCCCTCTCTGCCAGGGATGGCCAGAGGGATGGCAGGAGCCAGGAGGAAGCTTCTGGTTGGGTGGGGGGAAGCATGGTGTTCAACAATGAGAGTCCACCTGGGACACTTGCAAAGTGCAAGGTGAGAAGTAAAGATGCCACTTCCTTCCTGAGGAGCCAAAGAAGGGTGGTTGGAAGTGAGAGTGAAAAGAAGAGGAGGAGAGGGAAGGAGCTCAGCTAGATCCCATGGGTTACCAAAGTCAAGTGCAAGGGCCAAGTTCTAGAAGGGTTTTCATGAATGTGGTTTCCAAACAGTGGGAAGAGAGAATGGGATCTTGCCACCAGAATGGGGGCAGAATGTTTTGAGGGCCCAAACCCGGAGCCTAAGGATGGGTCTTTGGTCCTGCCTTTCCTGGAACCCTTGGTGAGACATGTGGTACCCTGAGCATGGGGCCAGGCTTCAGAGTGAAATCTAGGTGTTTCCCTCTCCCTAGTACCTAGTCATCCTGCAAGAATTTAGCATGTGCATTTTCTCCGTGCTGACAAAGCTGCTTTTGTACTCTGAGTGAAGGGACATGGCAAAGCCTGATAAAATCCCCTTCTCAGTTAGGTCAGTGTGCAAGCTGAGCATTCCAAATCCTGAAGGCTGGAAAGAAAAGGAAAGGACACTCAGTACCCCCACCATGGTGCAGAAATGCCGCATCATAACACTGAGGTTATGAACATTGGTTGTGGAGTACAGAAAGGAGAATTCGTGATCCCAGCAACTAGCAGAAATTCTGGGTCCCACATCCCTCTCCTCAGCAATTATGGAATGTTGAAGGTTTCGGTGAGAGCTCAGTGGATATATGACACAAATTGACCTTTTTAGAATCTGGACTGTTCTGGATCCTTCTGAGTACAAGGGCTCCCACTTGCAAAGTAGACTGCTCTGCCCCCACCCCCAGCCTCAGCAGAGATTTCTGGGTGACTCGGGGTGAGCTGGAAAACTTCCTTTTGTTTAGCCTTTGCAACCGAGAATCTGCCTTGGCAAAAGAGAGCTGGCCCCTGTCTGATCTAGAAAGTCTTAAGGATCTGGGGAGGGGAGAGGTGCCTCTAGCCCTCCGAGTGCTCTGGATGATTTAAGAGAGGATGACTGGGTACCGATCTCATGAGGCCACTGCAGGTTTTCACTAGGCTACCTGAAGCCACCTCATATACTCCCTTGATTGTAGTTTCTCTCTGTATCTGAAGAAGTTTAGCCAGGAAAGAGCAAGCCTATCTGGTGAGGATTCTGTCCTTTCCAGATGTCACTGAGATCCATACCTTGTTTTCATTCCCTAGGAGTTCTCAGATACAACTTGCAATGCCATCTGACATGTTAAACTCTGGAGCTGGAAGTGGCTTGGGGCTTGTGACTCCTCCCCAGCTCTTTTGTCTCCCTGGTCCCCACCTGAAAGGATTTCCGGGCAGCTTTACTGGACTTGGTCTGAAAGGCGAGGGCCAGGGATGAGGGTGTTAATTTTTGTTGGGGTCATCTCAGGCCAGTGCTTTTCTAAATTCCCCTTCCCTTGGCCAGACTGTAGCCCAGGTGGTGGGGGTTGTGGGGTGTGGGTATGCCCTGCCTTCACATACACTGTGTGAAGGCCTCTGGGCCAGCAGGGCCAGCCGGTGCAAGTGGAAAGCACTTGCCCAGACTGAGAATAAAGTGTGTCCTGTTTCTGGGGGAGGGGAAGAGGGACCAATGGTCCATGGCAAATATTTGGGAGCTGTTTTGCCAAGGGCTCCCTTCCTGGCCAAGAGGGTATTGATGGGAAAGCAGTGGTGCTGGCCTCAAGTGGTTAATTGGGAAGTGGAGGAGCACAAAACTCAGTGTTCTCTTGCTCTGCCCCAGTTTTAAACATTGCCGGCATCCCCACCAAGCAGGGCTTCGGGCTTGTGGCACATTAACCCCAGCAAAGCACTTTTCACCCAACTGCTCAGGCTCAGGGACCTGCAAGAAGTCCAGCTGCTGCAGAAAGGGCTGGGGTGTTCTCACAATGAAATCCCTACAAGCTGCAAACTGCCATCTCAGTGGACAGTCCTCAGATTGGAGACTCTGAGAGGAAAGTTAGGACTTAATACTGGCGTTATTCCTTTCCCCAGAGGCAGGAAGGCAAGACGGCATGCTGAACAGTTTGGGTGTGAGCTGGTTTTGAGTGACTTCAATCTAGGTGATCTAAGTTGGCATTCAGGAGCCCTTTAACCCTTGATGGCCCTAGTACCATCCCTGGTAGCCACAATAGCAAACTGCGAGGCTATTCGTTTGAATACTAGCCAGGGTGGACTTGCAGACACTTTCTGGAGCACAGGACAGTGACCCCCTTTCAGGACTGTCTCAGCAGCGTACTAAGGACTTGTTGGGCGATTACAAAGCCTTAGCCAAGGTCTTGATAAAGGCAGAGGGAAATGTTTGTTAGCCTGACCCAGCCCCAGGCTATACCCTGGCACCGGGCAGACTCGCTCTTGGAGAGGAATTAGAACTCACATAACCATCTTCTCCTCGCAGTGCGGGTACTTTGGCTTCATTTCCAGCTTCTTTACGTCGCTGTAGCGGATCTTGGGCCCTTTCCGGGAGCATTTGCATTTGGACCCTGCGGGAGAGAGCGCAGGAGAGGGGGCTGCTTAGTTGAACCAGGGATATCGTACCCCACGATTGCCCTCGGTGCCAATCCAGATCCTCAGGATCTCAGGTGCCTAGTAGTTGGTGTTTAGGTTCCCCAAGACGGGACAGACAAGGGGACTTTGCAGCACTCACCGTCCACGCGCGCAACGCAGAGCGCCAGGAGCAGCAGGAGCAGCGCGGCGGTCAGGAGCCTCATGCTGGCCGGAGGGGCGCGGGAGCAGGGACGCGGGGACGGCGCCGGCCGGTTGAAGTGGCGGCCTGGGGAGGCCGCCCGGCTCGGCTCTCTCGCCTCAGAGCACTCCTCCCGGCTTGGCTTGCTCCAGCTGCGCCCGTCAGTGGGTGCCCGGGCAGTCTGTCGCTGCGCTTTGCGCTCAGCTCTGGGATCTCTCCACAGCCTCCCTCCGCCCGCCCTGGCCTCTTTTAAATCCGCTCCTGCCCTCGCAGTGAGCGAGCTCATTAATATGCAGAACCACTCGGTGACTCACTGAGATTTCTCAATGTGGTGGGGGGAGGAGACCTTCCCAGCCCGCCCGCCGCCCGCCCAGGGATAGATCTCAATCTTAGCTGCGCACACTTGGAACCACGCGCGCACATGCACACTCACAGTCTCACATCCGCTACCGCACAACACGCTCTCCTTCACACACTTGCACACTCAAACCACAGTCTGCACGCATTTCCTAGTGCTGCTGCTGCTCTGTCTTGGGGAAGCCAAACCGTGGAGAGGTTGAGAAAGGGTGCTGCTTTTCTGATTCACGTGGATCCCTCTGGCCAGACAGGCTCACTGTCCTGAGCCACCAGGAGATCAAGGTCCAGGGTACAGTTCCTTGGGGAAAAGCTGAAAGGGTTTCAGGAAAGACGCCAAATGTGAGTGCCAGCAGGACTGACCCCTAGGGTGTGGGCAGTCCCTGTTGGGTCAGCAGCTCTGGTGGCCAGAGCACAAGGCCAGTTCTGAATAGGAGTTTGTCCACTGGTTGTACAGCAGCAAAGCCATTGCCCGTGATCATTGAACTGACTCAAAGAGAGTGTGATTTGGGGGAGTTTGGGACACTCCCAAAGGAAGGCTTCCTAGGTAAGTCTATGGTCTGGTGGCTCTCTGGGGCCCGGAGGGAACCAGTGGGGCTTCTCAGTGTTACACTATTCTCCAAAGCCAGGCAGAGACCCGGTAGTGAGCCCTGACAATGATGACCATCTGGATGAAGTCCCTCCTATGTTCCAGATTTTGCGTGGGATTGTGTATTACACAATGAGACCAGCCATGGTAGCTGAAATTACTGTCCCCTACTACCAGCACAAGTGGTATCTTTGGTATCACTCAAAGGCTTCTTTTCATCATCTATAAAGAATAGGTTCATCACAGTACCTGTTAGAGTGGCTGTGAGAAGCACATATGTATGTCACATATAAGAAGTGGTTAATGGGATGCCTAACATGGTGCCAGGAAATGCTGGCATCATTTGTGTGTGTGTATGTGTGTGTGTGTGTGTGTGTGTGTGTATACAAACATATACGTATAATTATATATACATAATTTGAGTCTTACAATTCTTCCAAATTGATACTTAAATTTCTTTATTTGGCAGATACAGAAAGAGGATTAGAGGAAAGAAAAATCTTGTTCAAGGTCATAGAACCAAGAAAGAGGATACTAGACCAGGAGGGGACTAGACCAGTAGAGGCAGAACTGGGGCTCATTCTGTTGCCTTTGGGCCTGTTGTCCCTTCAGTTGGTGGCTTCCCTGAGAGCCTCAGACACAGGGGGAGGAGCATCAGGCCGGTGGGGTGCTGAGCTGGGCTCCCAAGGCAGAGCTTGCCCAGTGCTGTTCTGTCAGTCTGGCAGCTCTCTGGGGGCATCAGTGCCCACAAAGGCTTCTGGGGTAGGAAGGGGGCCATTGGCTAAGGGGGGGTAGTGTGAAGAGTCTCTTCCCCCAGGGGAAGCTGAATCCTGAAAAGCAAGTAGAGCCCATAGAGCCTGGGCCTATCCCTAAAACCAGAATGGTAGCTGAATAGTTACATTCAGCAGAATATGAGTACAAAGGAGTGACTTTGGAATTTATATTAATTTTTAAAATTTGAAATTATTTTTTCTTAACACAATGCTGCCCATGTTTGTAACAGAAAAAAAAATTAAAAGCACAAGCACTTCCACTCACTCATAGATCTATACCAAGATGCTGCTGGCAGAGGTGTCTTTGCAAACCCTTCTCTCTTGGCTTTGCCAGCATGTGCACGGACAGGATCAGGCTACACATGCTGTTTAATAACTTGTTTGTTATCTCTACCATATATCATAGACATTGTTCCACGTAGCTAGTATTGCTTCTAGTATCTCTCTTTTAAAATTTTATTTCATTTTATTTTTTAATTTGTTCTAATTAGTTATATATGACAGTAAAATGCACTTTGATACATCATATATAGATGGAGTATAATTTCTTATTGTTCTGGTTGTACATGATGTAGTATCCCACAGGTCATATAGTTGTATATGTACATAGGGTAATAATGTGTGATTCATTCTACTATCCTTCCTAGCCCCATGCCCACTCCCCTTCCCTCACTTCCCTCTCCCTAATCCAAAGTAACCCTATTCTTCCCCAGCCCCTCCTCTTATGGTGAATTAGCATCCGCATATCAGAGAAAACATTTGGTCTTTGGTTTTTTGGGATTGGCTTATTTTGCTTAGCATGATATTCTTCAGCTCCATCCATTTGCTGGCAAATGCCACAATTTCATTCTTCTTTAAGGCTGAGTAATATTCATATGTGTGTGTGTGTGTGTGTGTGTGTGTGTGTATAAATGGATAAGGAAAATGTGAGATATATATATATATATATACACACACATATATATATGGATATATATATGTATACATATATATGTGTGTGTGTATATATACATTTAAACCCATTCTGTTTATATATATACATACACACACATATATATCTGTACATATATATATCCATATATATGTGTGTGAATATCAATCTCTCTCACACACATTTTCTTTATCCATTCATCTGTTAAAGGGCACCTAGGATGTTTCCATAGTATAGCTCTTAAAGGCAACACTTGAAGTCATGTGGTACAATGGTTAAGAGGTTGGCATCAGGACTCAGACCACTTGGCTGTGAATCCTAGGTACCAATTGTGAGACTTGGAGCAAATGACTTTTTTTTTGGTCTTGATTTTCTCATCTGTGAGATAGGGATGTGAGATAGGCACTTCCAACACAGGGGGAATTGAATGAGATAGTGCTTGTCAAGCTTTTAATGTGATCTCCAGCACAGAGTTAAGTAGTTAAGTGTTCAGTAAGTGTTGACTGTTGTTGTTGTTGTTGTTGTTATTATTATTATTATTATTCTGCATATAGACTACTCTACTGAACAGGTATATAATTAACTGAATACTGCCTGCTGGACATTTGGATTATTTTCAACTGTACACTCTTGTAAGAAGTGCTATGTAACAAATATTCTTGTAGCTCAGTGTTTCAATAATATGTTGATTAGGGCTGGGGTTTTGACTCAGTGGTAGTGCACTTGCCTAGCATGTGTGAGGCACTGGGTTTGATTCTCAGCACCACATACAAATAAATAAAATAAAGGTCCATCAACAACTAAAAAGAATATGTTGATTAATTAAGTGGTTTTTAACAGCATCAGGCCTGGATCATGGGAACTGAGTTTTTTTTTTTTTTCCTTCTTCCTCAGTCTATACATGTTGATCTTTGGTTTGTAAAATACAGTCACTGTGTCTTGGCAAACAGCTACTCCCTGTTCGTGTGCTTCAGGGGATCAGGAAAGGATGAGATTCACTGCTGCCAGAAGGTCTGTGAGTGATGCTGCCCAACTGGACAAAGGAGGAGACTTGACCTCTGACCTGACTTCAGGGTTCAGACTCTACTGAGCCCAGCTTGGGTGAAGTTAAGTAGGCGTGGGGCAGGTGAGGTGGGCATGGGGGGGGCAGTTCTTTGCACAGTAGCACCACTTGCTTTGAGGAGGTTCCCTGAAGGACAACCCATGTGGTCTGCCTCCCAGAGGGCAGCTGGCTGTGTGTGTGCATTGCAGGTGCCTAGGGATAGAGCCATGCAAGGTTTTATGGGAGGGATAGACACAGGTGTGGGGACATAAAGGGGAGGAAATAGAAATAGGACCCATTCAATGAGGAAATGGAACCTTGGCTGAGCCCCTTGAGATTTGCTTACCCATTCTGTTTACACTCATTGAACACCTGCTCTGTGCCAAGCTCTGTGCAGGTGCCAGGGCCTTCAGGTGAGCAGGTTTGTGCCTGTCTTCAGGGAAAGATGGCATCAACCAACAAATACAGGGATAAATATGCAAGTCCTGCAGATGTAGGTGTGATGGGGGAGGCTGGTGCTGTGAAGCCTACCAAGGGATCTGGCCAGGCACAGGTGGAGATGGAGTCCTGAAGGAAGTGACCAGTGGGTTGACTATGGAGAATGAGGAGGAGGTCACCAGGTGATCATGGGAGGGAAGCCACTCCTGTCTTTTACAGTCCCTGCTGCTTACACCCTGGGGCTGCACTGCTCCAAGCCCTTCCCTGGCCCTGATCTCACACAGAGTCAAGGCAAGTCCCCAGCAATGCCACCCCCTTGTGGCCATTATCTTCCATCCTCCACGCAGGCTGTGCTTGGCTACATCATCTTGTCTCATCCCTCAGACATGCAAACTCTTCCTCTATCAGGATCTTTGTGCTCCCGGTCCCTCTGCATGGAGCACTCTTCCCCAGAAGTCGCCAGGCAGCCCTCCGCATCCAGTCTCAGCACCCATATTTGCCTTTCAGACTCAAGGGCTCTAACTGCTCCCACTGGCAGCCACTCTCCATGCCTTGGTGTATATCAATTTATATAGAACCATCTCGGTTTGTATTGCTTTCCCATTTATTTGGGGGTGTATTTGGGGACATCTTCAGGTCTGCTGGGTATGTGTCTGACTCCTGATCCCCAGTGCCTATAATCATGTGTGGCACCCAGCAATGGCTCCTTCTGCATCTGTTGGGTAAATAAAAGCACATTTCAGGCAAAATCTAGGAATAAGAGAGAATGGTGCTGAACCCAGGCAATGCAAATGGCAAGGTCGTGTGTGAGAATTTGTGTGTGTGCACGCAAGTGTGGAAAAGGGGAAGGGGTGGCTGCTGGCTCTGAGTCCAAGGCTAGAGGGAGCCTCCCCCCCACTCTCCAGCACTCTGCCTGGAGGCCTGCATGCCTTTTTCTGGGCATCACCCTGTCCTGTGGCACTGTATGCAGCTGGGTGCCTCCTCTCTTCTACACCCAGTCCTGATGCTGAAGGAAGTGACCAGTGGGTTGACTCAGACACAGACCCTCTCTAGGACCTTGTTTTGAGGCAGAGGGGGACAAGGAAC